AGGAAATTAACAAGAAAAGAAACACACTCAAAACAGGTGTGAACTGTAACAATTGCAGTGATAGAGAGTAAGGGGCACAGAGGAGGGTCTTCTCGACATCCTGTTGTCAGGGGAGCCCATCTGACGTTGAACCTGATGTCTGAAAGATGAGGTGTCTGTCATGGGAAGAGCGTGAGATGAGAATCTCAGACAGAGATGTAACTGCTTGGAAGCAAGCAAGAAAGTGGCATTCCTGAAGGACTGAAAAAGGGTACAGTAAAGCTGTGTTGTAGATGAGCAGGAAGAAATGGTATGAACCGAAAATAGAAGACAGGACAGAGAAGAGTTTCATCGGGCAAAGCTTGCGGGTCACAAGAGGTGCTGTTAAATTCTAACCTCAACAGGAACTCATTGGAGGACTTAACGCAGAGAAATGACATAGCATGGGATGATGCAATTCTTACCTGAAATTTTCTTTTTATTTGTAGACTCAGAAGATTATTAATTTAAAGGAAGATCCTGAGTTTTGCTATACTTAGTAGGTTCTGTAAATTAGAGAACACTTGCCCATTCCTTGTGACAGATGGTGGCCTGGGGGAGAATGGGGACAAGGCAAGAGGAACCACCATCTATATGGACAAGGACACACATTTAGGAAACTGGGCACGCGAGACAGTATCGCAGCACAACCCATTATTCAGGGGTGTTTATAGAAGGCAAGCTGTAGTTCTGTCCATTTTTCACAGTTCAAGCAAAGAGTTTAGAAATTCAGACAATGGGGTTGGATTAGAACTTTTAGGATGTAAAAATCAATGGGTGTGTGTGTGCCAAAAATACAGACCATTAAAGTGTCAGTTTTCCCAAATTAATACTTCTGAGCCTTACGATAGTTAATTCAACTCTTCTGACCCAAAGCCCAGTTGCAGACTCCCTGCATCTGAACTAAACAGTGATGCGACAATGTGTCCAGATGGTGTCAATAAGACAGGGCCCAAAGATCGCTCAGAGGACTCGACCTGCTTACTGTTCGCACAAGCCTGCTTCACACAGGCCACCCTGCCTGTCAGCTACCACACAGCGGTTCCTTTCTTAGGGAAGAGGAGGATCCACTCAGCACCCACTCTGCCCGGCGTGGGCTGGCACGTGGAAGATGGCTGGTTGTCCCATGGTCTCCACAGGGGTTACAACCATGAGCCAGACTGTTCTTGTCGTCTTTGAACTTGCAAAAACGAAAGTGTCTCTGAGGACTCTTAACACTTTCCTTATTCTATTTCAATTACAGAATCGAGTCTACCCTAGTATTGTAGATATTCTGAGACAAGACTCTCACAGTCACAGTTGCTTCCCTGCCAATTTCTCCTGGTCTGAGTCGCTGAGATCGGAGCTGATCTTGTCAAATGTCAAGGGCAAATGTCAAGGGCAGAGCAGGGCCTCACTTCCCATAGTTCCTATAACAATGCAAACCCTGCAGCCAAAGGTAGAAATCCTGGAAGTGAAGTTTGAATAAAATCTTTCATTAAATGTTGAAAATAAACTCTCAAAGTGAAGAGGCTGGACGGAAAGACAGTCTTGGGAGGATCTGGCAAGGCAAAGACCAAGGACCCAAGACCAGAGAGAGGTGGAAGCATAGCGTGAAGCGACGGCATGGAGTGTGGGGTCAGCGGCAAGGCTGCCCTCTGCCTCTGACAGCTCTGTCCCCTGGGAGAGTGACATGCCCTCTACACCTCACTTCCTCTCCTGTAATTCCAGTCCCAACACTGGTGCTTACTAACTCTGCGGCCATATTTTTAAACATTTTACACGTGTTTTCTTACACGCCAAAACAACCTATGGACTAAATATCATTTTGTTTCTAATTTACATATGAGAGTTTTGAAAACATAGATGCTAAGTTTTATGGTCAAGGTCACGCAGTCACTGCATGGTGGGTTCCGCCCCCAAACTCAGACATCTGATTCCAGAGCCCAGCTTCTTAACATCATTCTGGATGACTCCGTGGAAAATGGCAAATGATAAATGATAATAGTAGTCATTGGCGTTTAAATATTATTTTTCATCTTTAGAATGACAGTTGGGTATTTTTTAAATAACTTCCATTTTCTTGTCATATTCATGTTCTCCACTATACACTTGAGCATGTGGGACATATTTATAATAGCCATTTTCTGCAAATCCCATCATCTCTGCATGCTGGGTTACGTTTTCTTAATTCTTTTATTGACTAGTAACTTTTCATTGGATGTAGGCATTGCATATTTTGTATTGTAAAGCATTTTGTTGCATTCCTTTAAATAGTGTTGGACTTTTACTGACAGGAAGTTGAGTCACTTGCGGATTCATTGGTTCCTTTTGAGTTTTGCTTTTAAGCTGTGTCAGGGCAGGTCAAGCTTTGCCTTTACTCTAGAACTATTTGAGACACACTCATAGGTCACTGTGGAGTCTCTGTTGAAAGACTCTTATGTTCGACACAATCTCTCTACTCCGGCTGGAAGGAATTCCAATAACTTCCAGTCTCGTGTAAACAGTGGGGATTGTCCTTACAGATCTCTGTGTGCCATGCAAATTACATAAGGAAGCTCTCTATTCTTGCTCCTTGGGAATTGTTCTTCTTCAGTTTTGTGGGGGTCTCTGTCTACATATGCTCACATTGGTGTTTTCCAGCCAAAGACTGAAGGGGTTTCTTTGCAGAATCCCCAGGTTTTAGCTCTCCCGGCCTCTACACGGTCATCCCTGTCTCCTGAGATGGCTGGAGTTTATTTCAGTTTTTCTTTCTGTGCCAAATGGATTACTTCCTGGGCCAGAAAGCTTGGGTGATGGATGGGTTTTCTCGCTCATGTTTCTTTTCTCAGGGATCACAGTCCTGTGTGGCATGTTGTCCATTACTTGAAAATATTTGTTTCTTATATTTTTCTCTTCCTATTTTCTGGTTGTCTTTTACAAGATTGTAATTCCAGACCATCTTACTCTCTCATGGGTGGAAACAGAACTCCACTATCATTATTATGAATGTCTCATGAGGCAGTACTTGTAGTGGCTTCCTAGTGGGTGTTAAGCCCCCTCGGTAGGGGCTGAGAGTATATAGCAGAGGTACGGACCCAGTCCGGAGAGGCTAAAGTAGGCAAGGAAGGCTTCCTGGAAGAGGAGGGGCTGGAGCTGGGTCTCTAAAGCCAATGAGTTTTCCAATATTAACATTCTTTTAGTTTAATTAGCATACTAAGTTTAAAGAGAACATAAATGAGTGATTGAAATTGCTTGACTCAATGAAGTCTTAATAATAACCCTAATTCAGTTTATTTGGCATCTATCACTCATAGATGAATAGCTAATGTCTTTTCTAATAAAACAGTCATAATAACATGAAGGAAGCCATTGAATATATTGTTTCTATTCTTTTCATCACATACTTTCTAAGCGAAGATTCTGAATCTATTAGAATAATTCTATAAAGTGCTTGAACTTTTTATCTTTTTTTTTTTTTAATTTCAAAGTTGAATTTACTTGACACTACAAGAGGAAGCATATGATGCTCTTTTCTTATCCTACGGGTAATTAAATGAAAATGGACTCCAACTCCAACCCTCCATAGTATGTTCTGGAAAGTGACTCTCCCTACAGGTGGAGAAGACTGACGGAGTGACCTGGATTTTGACCCCCCAAAGCCTTTCTTTTGGGAGCACTCGGATTCCACTGCGTTCATCCATGAGTCCAGCGGAGCAGAAACGCGATAACCTGTGATCATGAATTGCAATAAAGGAGCCTTCTCTCATGGCTACTTTCAAAAGCGAAGGCATATCAGCATTTTCAAAAGAAATGCTGAGCGTGAATGAAAACATACTGTCACAGAAAAGGCCAACAACACTGACTCGTTCCAGTCCCCCGATAGCAGCTTTCTCGCCCTGCCCACTGATCACAGTAGTCCACCTCCCCATCTTGCTTTGCTTTCTTACCTTGGAGACTGTCCCCACGTGGCTGCTACACACAAGCCTTTGCTCAGTCACCTGAAAACGGCGCCTCAGAAGCCTGGCCTTTTTGGAATCAAGACTAAAGGGGGGAAGGACATTAAATGTATAGGCCGCTTGTAACACGTCAGGCATCGTGTTGGACATTGGAGAATGCAGCACCCCGTTTAGTTTTTAAACGCTGAGGGGCTCCTCGCATTGCATGGTTGATCGGTGTGGGAAAATGAATAAAGTCACGTGGTTACTGGACAGGGGACCTGGACCTCAGTGTCACCTGGCTCACATACACCCTCGTCCGCTCGCATCTGCCGGATGGATGTGTAGGCAGCGCCCCGTGTTTCTGCCCAGCGTCCCTCCTACTTACCTCTAGTTTCTGCTCGGAAGAGCAGGCCTATTTGTCTACTCATCTATTAAACAAACATCAGTTGAGTTATGCGTGAGGCGACATGCATGGGGAATACATTCCAAATTCCTGCTCAAAACCTCAAGAACCGGTAGGAAATGCTGAAAAGGAAATGATTCTTTCCCCATAGCGTGCAAGAGGCATTTCAGCACAAAGCAGCAAGTGTCCGATATGATGGAAGCGGAAAGGAGGGGCCCTTAACGCAGCCTGACGTGTAGCCGTGACGGTGGAGAGGGACAGACAGACCTTTCCTATAGAATTTGTGTTGAGACCGTACCTTGAGTAAAACGGGCAGCCTTCTAGACAGGTGCAGATGGGGAGGGTCTCAGAGCAAGACTGGCCCATGCACCATAGAGGAGACTCGGGGATTGTGGCCTACTTTAGGGGGGCTCAGATTACATTAGAGCTACAGGGGGGGGGGCGTAGTGGGACGGGCTGAGGACGGGCGAGGATTGGCTGGTCCCTGTTGTTCCTCATGGCTTCGGGTGTTCGCGCCATCTGAAATGCCTTCCGCCTTCCTCTGTCATGTGTCGGCCTGGCGGCCATTCCCTTATGTTTCCAGAAGGATGTATTCACATCATGCCATTCATAGCAACCGTTCACTCCTTTGCCCACGTTTCAGCTCTATGTTACAGGTGTCTCTCTTCTGACCTTCTCACCTGGTACAGCTGACGGCCCGGTTCACGAGCACCTTGAGACTGTGAGCTGTTAGGAAAGGGATGGCCGTGTCCCATTTTACTCTTATTCCCAGAACCTCGAGTAGCCATAGTGCTCGGTAAGAGGTGAGCATGGGAGGACACAGCTCAGGGAACCAGTACGTGGATTTCCTGCACGCGAGGAGAGAAACAGAGTGATGTGTTTCGGTTTTCCCACCAGACCCGTGGAATTAGCTAACATATTTCCAGGTTATTTTTCCACTCTACCCTTTCACCCTATATTCCCCTTCAGTAAGTATTCTTAGGACATCCGTGTCTTACTGAATTTATTTTAACCAAATCCAAATTTTCTGTTATCTTTCTGGGTTTCTAACCCCTCAGCGTCCATTTGTTTTATGGCCCTATTCTCTCTGTGGCTTGCTATAGCTTCCAATTTGGCATAATGTGAGCATTTCATTAACATGCTATTTACTCTCACTTCGAAATCTCATGTACTCTACCTCCTTTTGTGTGGCTTATCACCAAGAATGAAGTAGATGCCTAGTAAATTAAATGTGCCAATGGTATTTAGTTTGGAAGCGTTATGAATACAAAAGGAAGGAAACGATAGAAGAGGACTGAATAGATTTTGAGGGAGAAAAACTCAGTGGTGCTTATAAAGAGTTATTCCTCATGGAAAAATATACTTGAGGAAAATTGATAAAACGTATGTGCATGAAAGGTGTGAAATAATTGTATCCATTTAGAGGAAAATGGTGGGAGTGTTAATAGATAATGCCGAATTTACATTAACAAAAATGTTATAATGTATATACTAGCACGTTAGACTATTGGAGCTGAAAGCCACTCTGGGGATTTAAATGTTTCCTTCTCTTTTTATAGACGAGCAAAAAAAAACCCTGAGGGATTTGGTCAAGGGCGCATCCCAAATTATTACAAAGCAAATCCTAGAAGCCACATTCTGTTCCTAATTAGCTGCTCTTTGCTCTAAAGCACCTTATGGCTTTTAAATGGTTGGCACAGAATTCATTTTGATTTGCACAATACATGTGGTAACGTAGGGAGGGTAGTTATCCTTTTACTTATTTGACACAGGAAAAAAGTATGAGGCTCAGACAGGCAGTGACCACTGGGGGGGCAGGCTTCGTGGCAAGGTCAGATCTGAAGCTCTTTTTTCTCGTTCCACAATTATCGTTCTTGCAAATACACCACGCTGACCCTGACATCAAATGCGTATGAAGTGACATTTGAAAGGGACACGATGACGGACTAGCTCATCTTCAGTCCAAAAGCTAAAGGAGCATGATGACTGCTGAGATGACAGAAAAATCAATGTTAGAAATTTGGTGATGGATGCAGACCAGACGGTGAACCAGAACCCAGCTAACCCAGGGCTGAGATCCAGCTTTGATGTCTCTGGTCTATGCTGACTGTTACTAAGACAGTGTGCCTCGCATCTTCCCTGTATAAACCGTAAAGCTGTCACTCGGGCAGGTCTCCTTGTAATGACTGTACTCGGCTGACACCATAAAATATAATCGACCCATGTCCCGATGTTCGTCTGAGCGGCAGAATGGGTCCTGGGAAGCAATACTGTGCTTTTTAGTGCTTGGCTTCTCATATTTCCATTAAGCACTAGAGTCTGGGAACTAGAACACCGGGTCAATAGAATTGACACATAGATCTGAATTTCCAGAACAGCCACTGAAATAGCTGACAGAGGAGAAGATTCCCAAAGTCAGGGGGAGAAACACTAAGACGGGTGTTTCAGCATTGATCAGAAATGGGTATTGTGTAGAAGCATTCTTCATCTTAGGTTGGATGTCGGCGCTGTTTGATTTTTCACAGCACTTTGTGAAAACTATGCATTCGATGCAGACTCAACAATACTCATATTTAGAAAAAAAATATGGACACTATTCTTAGCGATATGGCAACTAAAGCAAAAAGCATGTATTTTCGTATTAAGTGTCTTTATATTTGGAACTGGATAAACTCTGACTTGAACACTACTTCCCCCCTCTCCTGCCCCCATACTCACATTGCTAATCCTACCATGATTATAGAAGTATTTATATAAGAATTTGGCAGAAATATGTGCAGAAATCAGCACTTGATTTTAAATGGAGGAGTACATCCAAATTCTTGTCCAATTTCCTGCTGTTCTGACTAGATGTGTTACTTTGAGCTGGTCCATTCATTTGTTGGACTCCATTTTCTCAACTTTAAAGGAAAGAAATAGCATGTGTCTTAATCCAACAGAGGGTTGTTGTAAATATTAGTATAATTTGAGAATTGTAATAGTAGTTTGTAAAGGCTGAGAGTCTCCAAGTCCCCAGGACGGGGATACGGGGATATGTGAAACCTCTGTTGGATTCAGGCAAGTGTAATTTTCAAGAGATACGATATTTTGAATGACAAATAGAGGCAGACAGTTCCAAGTAATGCTGGTCCTCTAAATGAGGTTGCTGGTAAAAGTTCTGGTTCCCATGGGTTTTTCCGGTTTAACCAGGCCCCATGCCAATCACCACAGATGGACAGCAGAGTTTAGTGATGTCGCAAGTGGGTGACCAGGGACAGGTTTGTTTCTGGACCCCAAATAATGAGAGAACAAAGGAAACATGGAGTAAAACTATGAGCTGAAGCAGAAGAATTCCAGTGGAGGCACTTGTGGGAAGAAGAGTGTATCTGGACATCTGGGTGTATTGGGCTCAGTCTATTATATCTATATATACGCGTATATCATGAGGAATTATATATATAATTCCAGTCTCCTACCTGTCCTATTGCCAAATTCTCTTGAGGTTTTTCAGTTCATTCTTTGCACCTTGGCCAGAATAATAACAGTGAAACATAGGTTGCATCGTGCACATCCTCAGTTTAACCAACTCTAATAGCTTCCTGGATTAAGTAATAAAATGTTGGCTCTGCCTATCAGACCCACGTGACCTGACTCCTCCCTGCTTCCTGGTTTCATCTCTGACCCCTGCCCCACAGGATTTTCCAACCTCCTGTTCTTCAATCAGTGTGGCTGTGATCCTTAGAGCAGGGGGTGGGGGTGGGGGTGGGAAGGTGGGGGCGTTGACTTCTCACATCCTTTCTAACGTTGGAACCTCAGGTTCAAATCGCTTCGTCGCGGAAATCTTGACCCTTGTGGACCATCCTGGTTCCCTCACTTTACATGCTTCACGATGCTGCACACTCTCCCTCAACAGAGCACAGGTCCACAACATAACATTGTGTGATGGCTTTGATCATTCTGTTTTCACTGGTGGATTTTCTAAATCCCTTTCTTCCTCCCTCATGCAAGGCAAGCCCTCTCTTCCTAACTCCCTTACAATGGTAACTCATTGGACACTTGGTCTGGCTTCCGTACTGGGTTGCTCCTACGTACAGTGTTTCTCAGATCACCCATCTTAGCTCTCCAAGTGCATCCTGTAGATAAACGCTACGCAAACCACGCATCCAGCCTCCCCTGCGTCAGACACCCGGAATTTGGCCACGAAGCCTGGGTCCCATTTCCTAGGATGGTTATCATTTTTATAGGTTTACCTGGGTTCGTTTCTTGAACCATCTCCAACTGATGGGTGACCCACTTATAGATAATGCAGGTCTGTGCTGTCCAAGCACACTATTCCCAGCCCTTGCTCGTCAGAGCTTATGAAATTTCATCTGGTACTCTAGTTTATTTGTATATAACCCTGTCTTTCTTACTGAGGTATAAACTCTTTATACAGAGATACTAAGTCGCTTGCATTTCTATACGAAAACACTGTAACTTAATCCATGTTTATTAGGAGAAATTGGGGGTTGGAATGGCTGAAGTTATCTTGGGCATGTCTTGAGTGATGTCCCTATCCAATATATATCATTGAGGTAGATCGCTACCACTTAAACGATTGCAGTTGCAATTCTGTACACTAAACTAGGTAGAGGGTTGTCATTGTATCCTTTGACAATCTGACAGTAAACTTACCAATTCAGTTTCCATGTAACACATCTGTTTGCGGAAGCCTGGAAAGTGCTATTTCCTTTCTCCACTGGGAGAAATATTGATGCGAGTTAAATGACCAACCTTGCAAAACATGTATTTAAGGGTTAGAAGAATGAGGACAATAAAAGCCAAACTAAATTTCAGTCCACCTAATTTAAGGATCTCTAATTCAACAGCATGCCTATTTCATCTTAATGGCATTATCTAGTGTAGTATGGTTGTTCTCTTGCCAAAAATTGATTCGATGAGCACTTTGTAAAAATGATGATGACTGGGAAAATACGGGTGAGTTTAATTTCATCAGTTCAGAAAATATGATCTGCTTTCCTAATGGAGTGGAACATAAAAAGAGGAACTAGAAGGCTAAAGTCAGTCGCAGTAATTAGGGAGCTGGCCAAGAAACTAGAGTTACGGTTACTTAAGACACATTCCCACGGAAGTGTGATCAAAGGAAGCCTCAGTTTTATTGAGCTGATAGCAAAGATACAGTGTATTAAGGGGTGAGTACAGAATAGACCGAGAGCATTCTGACTGCAGCTTTGACCTTTTTCTATTAATTAAATGGATTGACTGTTGTCAGAAGAGACTCAGTCTCCAGGTGCTGATCTAAACTAGGGTTTTCCTTTTCTATTTTCAATGAATAGGTGAAAGATCCTTTGGAAACAAAAAGTCACTCACCTTTGTTTACTCAATTTAGAAACTCTTTAATTGTCACCCATTCAATAAGCTAGAGTACCTGAAAGAGCTACTTAAAACAGTGGAGAACTGGATTTGGGGAAATTTTAAGCTTCCATTTCCCCATGACAAATATATCTGGAAAGCTAATTCTGATCATTACACAAATAAATATGTAAAAAGGCAGAATAAGAAACTCAAAGTCACGGTAAGATATTTGGGGGTGAATTCTAGTTTCTTGATAAGATCTGATACAATTTGAAAATTTGTATAGAATAGGTGACATTTGCCTTGAAAATGAAATGATTGTAGTTGCAGAAGTTCCAGCCTTTTTCGAAGGTTTGGAAAATAGGAAAGATTAAAAAAAATATTAGCATAAACCCTGGAGTAGGGAGAGGACCTCAGCCTGGTCTCACTCCTCACTTCCCAGAGACAGAATCACTTTCTTTTCTTTTTAAGTAATATTGGGCTATCGGAAAAGTCATTACGTAGTATTTTTTTT